ATGTTGATGTGTGGCATACAACGCCTTCAGCTTAGGAGGTAAATGCGGTCAACTAATGGCCAGAACCCACGCGAGCATAAGTTGGTTTCCTGATTCATTCAAGCCATCAGTCGAGGGGCGATGGGTGGTAATGAGAGACGGATTACTAGGGATAACTGGAGCGTTCGCTCCTTTGATTCCGCATAGATCCAGTAGCAGACCTTGGTGGTTGCCTAGAGTAGAAAGAGCACTCACGTTTCGTAGAAAGCGCTGGGCCTTCCAAAAGCTTCACAAAACGCATAGTGCTTGAGTCAACTACAAGTTGGCTAGAAATACGGCACAGGCAATACAGCGGGAGGCTTAGTTCGAATATGGAAAGAAACTAGCTAGTTGCATCAAAACAAACCCAAAGAGGATTTTTGCATATGTACAATCCAAGGGAATCACATGTGAAAGTGTTGGAACCTTGGAGGTGGCAAACGGTAATCTAGCTGGCGCGGACAAGGATAGGGCTGAAACGCTGATGGACTACTTCAAAAGTGTCTATCGTTAGTCCCAGGGTGATGGAGTCCGGAACCCTTTGGTGGACACCAATGAAAACGAGCTGAAGACGTAGATCCTGAGAGAGGTACGCATCGATCTGAGAAGCCTGTGCAAGCACTAGGTGGCGGATGTACTTCATGTAGAATTTTTGAAAATCCTTCCAAACCCATGATGATTTATGGCGACATTTCTCGATCACAAACACCATACATTATTATTTATCTGTCAATTTGGATGCCCAGCACATTGGAATTCGGCGTGGTCAGAGAACGGGAGCGACTGTTTGGCTCTATCTGGACATCATATTTGGCTCGCTTGTTTGAGTGCTTTTGGCCGCATATTTGAGGTTTGTTTTATTGTACATTTTCTATTGATTTTGTTAATTCAGTACCGTCAAACATTACAGATCAATCGTGATTTACTTCGGGATTCGTATCGGTTCAGCTACGCGTTACTCAAGTGCGAATTAGTTGACGTACAGTGCATTTTGCCACTAAGCGGACGCATTCGTGCCCGCTCAGTGATAGGTCCCACTCACTTGCCCCTCGCATCGGCTCCCAGCTACTGCGGATAAGCGGGGTCAAAGGAACACTTAGAAATGGACGAGAACACGTCGCTCGGATTGAAATAACCTGGACACATATTGGCTCAAGCCACAAGTCCTGTGACCTGACCTGAACTGACCTAACCTTGTCCAGGCAGTCTTGCATCGATTTTTAAATCACCCGTGAACTTGAAGCATTGGTTGCCCAAGTTCTAGCCTACGTTGTCTACATGCAGTAGGAATTTCAGGGGCCCGAGAACTGAGCCTTGAGGTACCCCACTATGTACGTGCCCTTCCACTGACACTTTCTCCCATACTCACACTATAAACGGCCTTCCATTCAAAATTGCCGTAAGTGGAGGGTAGTAGCGTGACATGCCAACTATGAGGTCTTCTTAAAACCGACCGATTTTAGCAATATTTAACGAGGGATGTTGGATGTAACTGAAATTGAACAGATTTCGATTTTAGTTGATTTTGTGTCATTTGTTGAAATTTAATCTGTTTTAATTTACCTTAACTGTCTTTGTCCGGAAAGTATAAATACCGCAACGCACTGTCAGCGACCATTCCCATGGTCATACCAACCATGGTTCATGTTGGTGATACGGTCGTTTTTCAAAGAATGGTAAAAATCGCTGGACGGATGGTTGGAGGACTTCCGTGAATTCCAAAGGGTTACCAGCATATTCTTCTATGTTTATGCATCAACGACAGCCAATAGACTGATACGATAGTGAAAGTTTGGTCGAAAACTGATGCTGCCTAAAAGTTTTCTATACTACTTCATCAAATATTGCTGTGTACATCATCGAAATCGCGTAGCAACTGCAACCAGGTGATTGGGTCTCTAATTTGTAATGTATACAACTAGTTTTAGGCTGGAAAATATCTGTGGTAGTGTCAGATCTGGCGAAAGCAACCGTTGTAGGAGGATACAAATCGGGGTCTAGACAAAAGGCAGAAAACTACGAAACGATCAGCTCAACACCGATGCTGTGCAAGTGCCTTGAACTGACATTAAGAAGACAAATATGTGCGCACCTGGTGACTCATAGACTTCTATCTTAGCACAGTATGGGGTTACGAGAAATAAGTCGTGCCTAACTAATCAACTTATGTTTCTAGACGAAACTACACGACGATTAGATCAGGGTAGGGCAGTGAAGCTACTTAGACTGACCTAATTACCTAGACTTCAGCAACGCTTTTTGTTCGCTCAGTCATGCGTTGATTGACCAGAAACTATCAACGTTTGAAATAGTCAGGTCAGCGCGTCAGTGGTTGAAACAATTTCCCGGCAACCGTAACCTCGCAGCACGGGTTGGCAGCTACAAATCCTGGTCAGAGAGGGTACCCCAAGGCTTTGTTTTTCGGCCCATTCGTTTGCTTCGTTTCATCAACGACCTCGAGCTAGAATTACACAACACCTGCTTTATCTTTGCGGACGATGTGAAGATAGAGGGTGAGAACCTAACCCAGGATACTATCCGCAGCTGGTCGGCTCGATGGGATTTACACCCGAATCTTGCCAAGTGTTAGCTTCTGACTACTTATGTAGACTCAGTCGGAAATACTGCGCTACGAGGTATAACGGAGGTCAAAGACCTAGGAATTATTGTCACAAAAGACTTCCGGCCTACTGGAAAATGTGGGTGGCTGCAACTAATACAAGAGGAGTACTCTTCAGACTGCGGACCACCGTCACCTGTAGGAAACCAGAAATGTTCATTTCACTGTACAAGGCAGTGATGCGTCCACTGCTGGAATACTGCGTGCAACCTTAGACCCCATAATACCGCGAAGATATGGAGTGTCTAGAAAGGGTACAACGACTAGCAACCAGAATGGTCACTGGAAATGTAGGAGAGAGCCACTCGCAACGTCTGCAGGACCGGAATCTTTTCTCGCTGTCAAGCCAAAGGACCTAGGTCGACTTAATAGAAGTTCTCAAGATTTTCAAGGAGTGTTCCGGTATAGAAGTAAACAGCTTCTTCTTTCCTGCACCAGATTGTGACACTAGAGGTCACAGCCTTAAGATGCAAAGAGAGCACTCTAGTTTGGAATCCAGGGCCAGGCTTTTCACAAAAGGAATTTAGAGATGGAGGGACTCTATATGACGATCTCCCGTGTTTCTCAATAGCCTGGTGTGTATCTGGAAGAAAAACCGGTTAGTCAAGGGGAAGTATATTGCTCCCTGAAGGTACCGGAAGTACCACGCTGGAGAGTATCTGAAAATGCTTAGCAAGCGAAGATGTAGCACTCACGCACTGTTTTAGGTGAAGGTACTTCACCGAAAGTGGCAGTGACTTAAGCAAAGATGGAAGACCTAGATGAAAAAGCGGTCTTAGGTTATCAAATATCCTAGCGGAACCTATGCTGCAAAGGAGAAGGACGCATGAGAAAAATGCTACAAGCAATCAATACCAGCAATCATGCGAAACTATACATGAGAACGAGGTAGACCAAGGATGATGACGGCTGTCGAGCATGTTACACTGTCACTCTGAAGCCCCTAAATGTATGGTCCCTTTGTGGAGTAGATTACCGGGGAATGTCATAATCTGCTCACCAGTGGTGGCCTTTAAAAGGGTCTTAGATCTGTCCTGGGACGTGGTATTTCCGGGGCTGGCCACTTGAGAGGCGATAAAGACACAAGGTGAGTTCGCTTCTATATTTATGTATTTCATTTATACATATAAGGCGGATGTGTTATGCACCTAAGAATTATGCTTTTCAGAAAATAGCGGAACGAGCATTTGACAAGCCGTGTTGTAAGCCAAAGCAACTAGCTGAAAACAGCGATCTGAACGCACGATTGATCTCGACCACTTCCGTCCTGTGCAAACTAAACTGAATTGAATTGACCAGAGGTAGTATAGAAACGGGGTCTTGGGTTGACATGCTTCTTAATTCCCAACTAATGTCCCTTACAGATTTCGCACCGGAACCAGTTTTCTGTCAGAAAACTGTTGTCAAACAGCGACTGTGTAGGCCTTGAGTTATTGGTACAAAGCAAAACCAGACAGTTCAGGAAACGGAGGACGGTTGTATTGTTATAACCTGCAGAGCAAAAGGAAGATGCAAAAGCGTGAGCAAGCGTGCGAAAAACAAAGCAAACAAGTGCTGACCGAAGAGGTGGCCGTGATGTAGTAAGACAATGAGATGCAAAGGAGGAAATGTACATGTAGAATGGGAGTTGGTTGGTGTCACTACAGAACTCCCTCCCTAGAAGGCTAAGGAGAGCATTCGATAGGGATGCATTCATCGTCTGCTGCGGTTTGCTAGTCCGGAGAATTGGGTGGCTTGCTGCGTTGTCACGGAAATGTTGGTAATCAACGTTCAAAATTGTTTGAGTTGATGTGGCAGGGGGTGCCGGCATATAAAAGACATGTGAGGAAATGAAAATAACCGTGAGAAAGCGTCTGCAGGCCTATCGTCGTTGCGCCACTTGCCGAGTTTTGGTTTGTCTTCGGGACCGTCGCAGCTGGACACGAGCCAATAAAAAATTGATGCGGCTGTCAGGAAAAGGTCTTCCATACTCAGATTGTGCTGAAGCGGTGGAAGGGGTTGGGAACGTGGCAATCTTCACTCTTGCTGCGTTATTCTCGGGTTTTGAGGTCACACCGTTCACTTGGCCGACGTTTTTGTCTCGAGTTTTGAAGGCAGTGCCTGGAAGGGAACGAAAAAAATAAGATCGAGGCAGCACTTGTTGGAGCAGATCGACGAGGCAAAGACAAACACAATAACAAAGGACAAGGGTTTTTTGTTTTGTTTTTAAAGTGTATATATGCATACAGAAAAACTTAAACCATGGTGGAAAAAATGAAAACAATGAAAAAAGGATTTTTGGTTTATTTTCGGTTTTGGCATGCATATACAAATACACAGATTAAAGAAAAAATATTTATGTCGCAGACTAAAGGCTTCTATCCTACAAGGCAAAGCGTACATGTAGCTTAAGGACTTTCCCGCGACTAGTAGTCTGATGGGGTGGGTCAGGATCAGGTGCCTGCTCCAATGGTTTCACGAGGTTTATTGGGTTGGAGGGAGCAGGACCTTTTGGGACGGGAGTTGCGGGTGACGCAACGGATGAGGGACCATTGATGGAAGGAACGGTTTCCTCCAAGTGCGAAGGTTTGAGCCGGTCAATACTAACGGTCTCACGTATGCCGTTGCGCTCCATTACGTAAGCTTTGTTTAAGCGTCGCCGTAACTGACGGGGTGGTTGAATATGTAACTGTCGCATACGATGCACTAAACGAGCTGCATATTCACCGTAGTTGAGGTCAGTTGGTGAGGTCGGTGCCACCATTTCTCCTGGAAGACGTAGTGTGCCACTGAAAGTCAACTCTGCCGGTATGGACCGGAAATCTGCTTTGAAGGCTGATCTGCAACCTAAGAGGACTAAAAGTAAAGACTCCTTCCAGTTTTGGTTCGCCTACGCTACCAGAGCACTTTTTAGTTGTCGATGAAAACGCTCGACCATTCCGTTGGCTGCCGGGTGGTGGGCGGTCCTCTGGACGCGGTAAACGCCTGGATGCCTAAGTAGTTGTGTAGAAACACCCTCGAAAGAAGAACATCAATCGGTTGTAGATACTGTAGGACAACCGAAGCTAGCCATCCAACCCTCTACGAAGACTTGTGTGCTGCTTCGCTGGATGTGGAGTACAAAGGTACAGCCACCGGCCACAGGGTGAAACGATCTACAAAAGTGAGTATATTGATACACCCTTTCGATGGTTGCAGGGGTCCTAAGTGATCGTGGTGGAAACGTTCGTCGACGACGGGAAATGAACCTAGTGGGCTCTTTCTGTGACGAACAATTTTGTTACGTTGGCAGGAGAAGAACTGGCGTGCCCATTTTCGGATGTCCTTTTGATGTTATGCCAGACGAAACGATCAGTGATGAGTTTCA